AATTTAACACCCACAATCATTCACTACAAAATATGACTAGACACCGGCAATGATGAGTTCAAGTGTAAAATCTGTTAAAAATGCCATATAATGAGATTTACTTAATGATTTAATGAGCATTTCTGAGTGAAACACAGTGTAGCATGGGACATTGTTCTGTGCCATGTGTTGTAAAAAAAACTACATCATAATAACTGTAAGTTAAGACATTTAAAATATTACAGAAGATTTCTATTTCAAATAAATTCTGTTTTTTTACTTTCTATTCATCAAAGAATCCTAAAAAAATATATCAACGTTTCTACTGTTTTCAATATTGATAATAAAAAGAAATGTTTTATGAGCAACAAATCAGCATATTAGAATGATTTCTGAAGAGTAATGATGCTGAAAATTTAGCTTTGCATCACAGGAATAAATTACATTTAGAATATATTAAAATAGTAAACAGTTCTTTCACAATAAATACAATTTGTATTGTATTTTTTTATCAAATCATTGCAACCTGGGTGATCATAAAAGACTTCCTTCCCCTAGCTTTTGAGTGTCTATATTGTTCATAAGAACCCTTTTTGTGTTCCAGAGAAAAGTTAAACAGGTTTTGAGGGTTGGTAGATGACAACAGAACTTTTCGTTTAAAGAAAATGACCTGCATACATTGCGTGTACAGGCTTCAGACATGAGAATGGCATATTTCTGCCACAGCCTTTCAGACAAACGCTTTGTGCCTATAATCATGCAATTTAATGGTTAAAGATACTTTTTTTTTTTTTTTGGAAGTTACCGTCCAGATACTGACCTGCAGGAAAACTGTGGAGTCTTTCTGGTAGATCTTGACCAGTTGTAGGTTAGAGATGGTGTCAATGATGCCCATGGCAAGACCAGATACCGCCAAGGCAAAGGCCAACAAGAGCAGCTTATGGCATAGTGGGATGACGGCAAAAACCACAGAGATGGTGAGGCTGGACACAGCCAACGCTGACAAAGAACTCACAAGCCTAAGAGAAACAAATGAGATGTTAACAAAACCACATTAAAATAATAGTACTAGATGAGCTGTAAAAAAAAATTAGAATTTCAAATATTCGTCGAATTTAAAAGAAAAATCCACATTCGAATGCAAAAACGTTGCATTCGAATTTTAGGTGTTCGGTCCTTTGTATCAAACTATACATACATGCATGATTCTGTTTTGTTTCTAATTGTTTAAGGAACTTTAATTATATAAGGTTTATAAACATTATTTTAAACAGAATGCACTTTTTTCAAAGATAGTCCTGTTATTTTATTATGCTTTGAAGAAACGTGCATAATATTTTGCTCGGTATGCCCTCTTGTGGCCTCAGGAGAGAAGCCAAAAGCCCCCCCCCCCCTAACTGAAATGATGTCTTTTAAATTCGAATATAATTCGAATATTGATAATATTTAAGTAAAAAATTCTAATTTAGTTTTTCAGCCATTTTGACAGCCCTAGTGTTACATGACAGCTAGTTCAGAATACAGCTCGGAGCCTTCAAAATGACTGCCAAAAATACAATGCATTTCTCTAAGGGTAAAACTTTTTATAGTGGAAAAAGTAACTTCGTGCACATGTAGTGGTATGTTATATATAAGGAAAAGTTTCAAACAGATCCCACCTGAAACAGCCTCAGGTGAGTCTTTTCATATCAAGTTGTTCTGTGTGGCGTCTTGGCGGGATTTTATTTCTGGACGTCTCTGACTTTATTTTCACCTTGGCCCAATTCATTTCTGTTAACATGGCTTATCAAATGCTGCTTCTACCGATAACAGATGATACCAGTGGATACGTGACACTTGCTTACTTTCTACCAGTTTTATGCTTCTTTCACATGCTATCAGAAATGTCCTACTTCCCACTTCTGAATTCGTAATTATGAGTTTATCGTGTTCAAGTGCTTTGTTTTCAGAAAGAACAGGAACCATGGATGACACCTGGGGTGTATTCCAGAAAGCAAGGTTAACTTACCATCACACATACCCTGAACTTTCGGTTTATTAACCCAAACCTTGTTCACGGTTAACACACAAGACATACTCAACAGAGTGACGAATCGATGAGTCACCATGGAAACCGACGCTAAGAAAAAGCGCGCCATGCTGCTTCTTTCTTCTTTTGTTCAATGGTCATTTACATACTTACTGCATATCCCCACCTAATTGATGGTTGTGCAATCATTTAATCTTTTAATCACTGAGAATAAGAATTATATTGTTTGTTTGATGCTAATTATACAGTATAATAAGAAATATCACATATGTATTTTTATTATACATGATAGAAAATACAGATCCACGATGTGTGAGATGACAATAAAATATAATAAATATATTCAAATAAAATAAACTTTACTTTGTTACATTAGTGTTTTAAAATTAATATATCGCTAACTATTGTATATGGCAATAAATATAATAACATATTAGAATAATATAATATTACCTTATCTATTACTTATAATAGTGCTTTATAATTAACATATCAGACAACGATAGATAGATAGATAGATAGATAGATAGATAGATAGATAGATAGATAGTAAACTAACCCTGAAACAGAACTTACTCCGGAGCAGGTTATGTTCAGGGAATAAGTTGCTATAACATATTAGAATAATAGAATATTACCTTATATGTTACTTATAATAGTGCTTTATAATTAACATATCATACAACTCTCTCTCTCTCTCTCTCTCTCTCTCTCTCTCTCTATATATATATATATATGATAGCTTTATTGTAATCATATATAATATTATAAGGTCATGCATGTGCTGATAGCGCTGAAGTAAACTAACCCTGAAACATAACCTACCCTGGAGCAGGTTATGTTCAGAGAATAAGTTGCTATGGCTACTGACAGTTACCTCTGTTTTTGGAACCACTTACTTACCCTTAAACATACCCGGGTATGTCACATAACCTAGTTCCTGGAATACCCCCCAGGTTCATTCTTTTCTATTTTGGAAAGAAATCTTTATTAAGGTCTAAATATATTGGAAGATATTCAGTATCCAATGGATTTTGGATAAAATGTAGCATCTCATTTGTTGTCAACCACATAAACATTATTATACACTATTGTATACATTCACCAAGTTTCAGTCAAATAAATGCTGTTTTCACCTAAATAAATACACAGAATATGCATCAAATGATTATTTTTTATACATACATATACATGACTGTAATGGCAAGATAAAGCGATGTGGATGTTGTGTGAAAAACTAAAACCTAACAGTACGCAATGGTTTACGGCACCCCAAACTTGGAAACTCTGGCAAAAAAAATCATCTAAATATGACTTGAGAAGCCATTCATTCACTAACTAGGAAACTTGTGTTTATGATCATTCCGATGAAGGCAGCATTAAGTTGCATGCCACAAACTGGAAAACCAATAGAGCAGAACAGATGAAGGAAACATGGAGAATGATGTGTGGTTAAATATAGTCAGGACTGTAAAACAGAGATAAAGATCTTTTACAAGTGTACCATACCCAGATCCACAGAGTTAAACAAAGTAATATGATTATCTGTAATGAAGAAAACAAAAAGAAAAGGACTAGTGTGACATTGAGAGCACAAGTTTCCAAATAAAAGCAATTAAAGAAGACCGTAGGGTTAAAACATGCATGACTAAAGCAAGAGAAAGCCATGCTTGCTAGAATCCTCGTGGTTTTACTTGTTTTTCAGTCAATAGTACATTTCCATGGTACAGTCTCAGAACTGTAGGGTGACCGGCAAAACAAACTGTAAAATAATATGAATATCAGCAGTGTTTACTACACAGAGGAAATATTTGCTCATAGCCATAAAAATCACTCAGTTCTTCCTTGAACGGGAAGTTGCTTTAAATGAGCAAATGTTGTTCCAAACCTTTTTGAAGCCACTTACAAAAATGAACTTTACAAAAGTTCATTTCTTTATCTGTCAGGCAAAACAACAACAAGGCAGTGTGTTTTAATGGCTCCTGACCTAGATAACTGAACATCTTTAATGAGCACATGACCACTACAGAGTTTTCCAAAGACAGGCCACGGATGGGTTAGAAACCGATCAGTCCTAAGAAATCAGATAATGATATGTGTTATGATGATTAAAGGCTGCCAAAAACTCACGTAGGACACACTTAAAATGCTTTATCTCATGAGGAAGTGTACACTTTAAAAAATGCTGGGTTAAATACAACCCAGTGCTGGGTAAAATAGGGACAAACCCAGCAATTGGGTTGTTTTGACCCAGCGGTTGGGTTACTACCCTGAAGGTTGGGTTAAACATTTAAACCAACCGCTGGGTCAAAACAGCCCAATTGCTGGGTTTGTCCCTATTTTACCCAGCACTGGGTTGTATTTAACCCATCATTTTTTAGAGTGTAAGATACATGACTGGGAGGGGGAAAACAAACAAAACTTCTGTCATCACGAGACTAACTTGCTGTTTAATAGCTTTTAAGGGCAACTGTATCAGAAAAAATGGACTGAATAAGTCTAGGGAAAGTAAAACGTAAATTGTTCATTTTAAAACAAACAAACAAATATTTTATATTGTGAACAAAGAGAAGTGATTAACAGTAGAGATACACAATATTTACATTATCAACATTGGTCTGAATAGCCAATATTGGAGACAGATAATAAGCAGGGTTTTTTTTCTATGCCAGGTTACAAATGTAAACAGTTACCCATCTTTTCTATTATACATTAATTAACAAAAATTATTAGCAGTATATCAGTAATTATTATCAGTATAGGGCTAAATAAATAAATACATTACTAGATAGAACTATAAAATGATAGATAGATAGATAGATAGATAGATAGATAGATAGATAGATAGATAGATAGATAATCTCTTTTTCAGTTCCTTATTGCTTTGAGGAAGGCTACTAAGGCTACTAACTAAAAGTTTTTCTTAAAAACTGTAAAACCACATCTGTGATATAAATACTACATAAGTAATGCACATTACAGGCCCATTAACCCTTTTTATTCAGCATAGATATTTAGGGTTTAAATGTACATATGTTTATACGGGAATGTCTGTAGGGGTAATAATATCATTTTTTCTAATTTAAAATAATTTCGAATTTTTAAAAGTATCAATAGCCTATATATTACATTAACATGAGATCATAATAGCTGCATGTGTAGGCCTAATCTAATAATTAAGGTCGGGTATATTAACTTGGATATTTTAAATTTTAATATTTTAAAATTAATTTCAACATGTCATAGCCTACTACTGAAACGGTTTGACATTGCATGTCACCCACTCAAGAATAAACGAATAAAATATAAATGTATATCTCTCCAAAACACTCACGTTTTACTGAAGAATCCTCCAATGGTGCTTCCAATAAAGAGGAAAAACTGTTGGGAGAAGAAGACCAGAGTGATCTCCTGCAGTGTAGACTGAGTCTGACATCTCAGGTCCAGGATGGTCGGCCCCAGAAAAGCGACACAGAGTCCAAAACTAAAGAACACACTCCAATATGTGAGAGTATGCTGCCAGTTACTGCGGAATAACGCGCAGATCCGTTCATTAAGCAGCTGCTTCATGCTGGAGAACGTTTCTGAGGTGTTTCCTGAGCAGTGGAATTCATCACAGGCGTGAGAAGAGACTTGTCTAATGTCTAAAGTGAGAGTCGAGTGACTGATCAGAGTGGTCCGATTCGCAAACGAGTTGTTCATTCAAATCGGTTCTTTGGAATGATTCAATCTAAACCGACCCGTTTGTGGAGAAGCGCTGGTATATTTTAGTCAAGTGATGTTTTATCTGTGTGTGTGTGTGTGTGTGTGTGTGTGTGTGTGTGTGTGTTTTGGAAAGTCAAAGAAAATATTGTACAGCCATAAATTTAAACATATTGGAATCGTTATCAACGCAAAATTTGATAGGCTACAATTAAATAAAAAATATACCAGCATATGCCGACCACCAAAACTACATTGACAGACTATAGTTCATTAAAGCGAACCGATTCGCTAAAATTATTTGAACTTCCAACTCTTTCAGGAGGAGATCTAGGAAGCCCGTTTCCGCCACTGAATAAAAGAAGGTTATTGCGACTTTTTATCTTACAATTCTGAAAATCCTCAGATCCTGAGAAAAGAGTAACAATTTCGAGATTTTAACTTGCAATTCTGAGAAAAAAGTCAGAAATACGAGATATGAACTCACAATTGTGAGAAAAGTGTCAGAATTACGAGATATAAACTCACAATTGCGAGAAAAAAAATTCAGAATAGCGACTTTATATCTCACGATCCTGAGGAGAGAAAAAAAATTCAGAAATACGAGATATAAACTCGCAACTCGCAACTCGAGAAAAAAGTCAGAAATACGAGATATAAACTCGCAACTCCGAGAAAAAAGTCAGAAATATGAGACATAAACTCGCAACTCCGAGAAAAAAGTCAGAAATACGAGACATAAACTCGCAACTCCGAGAAAAAAGTCAGAAATACGAGATATAAACTCGCAACTCCGAGAAAAAAAGTCAGAATTGCAAGATGTAAACTCGCAATTGCGAGAAAAAAGTCAAGTCAAGTCAAGTCACCTTTATTTATATAGCGCTTTTAACAATACAGATTGTGACAAAGCAACTGAACAGCATTAATTAGGAAAATAGTGTCAATAATGCAAAATGACAATAGTAAACACTCATTTTTCAGTTAAAGACAGTTCATCATTGAATTCAGTGATGTCAACATCCAGCTCAGTTTAAATAATATCTTTGCAATCATGTCAACGATATCGCTGGAAATGAAGTGTCCCCAACTAAGCAAGCCAGAGGCGACAGCGGCAAGGAACCAAAACTCCATCGGTGACAGAATGGAGAAAAAACCTTGGGAGAAACCAGGCTCAGTCGGGGGGCCAGTTCTCCTCTGACCAGACGAACCAGCAGAACGGAAAAATCAATATAAGACGTAATAAAACAGACGATGAATAATATTAACAGCAATTATTATATGATGCAATCAAACTTGTAGCAAAATGTGGTAGTTCTGTATGTTGTTTCAGGGTTGGCATCATCTGAGGTCCTCTGAGGGGTTGCATCTTCTCTTCTCAGGTGTTCTGGATCCAGACTGAAGCTTGTGTGAATCCTAGTTACCACGGGATGTTAATCCCGTGGCAAAAGACAGAGAAACAAATACAAACATAATTAGCGTAGCTGCTGTTCCAACCAAGCAAAAATGATTTGTTTAACCCAAACTAATGAATAATAATGTGCATTTGATTAGATATAACTGCAGTAAAAGATTATGACTGCAGTAAAAGATTATGAGATGCATTATTTGAATGCTTGGCCAAAGAGATGTGTCTTTAATCTAGATTTAAACAGAGAGAGTGTGTCTGAACCCCGAACGGTATCAGGAAGGCTATTCCAGAGTTTGGGAGCCAAATGCGAAAAAGCTCTACCTCCTTTAGTGGACTTTGCTATCCTAGGTACTACCAAAAGTCCAGAGTTTTGTGACCTTAGGGAGCGTGATGGATTGTAGCGTGGTAGAAGACTAGTTAGGTATGCAGGAGCTAACCCATTAAGGGCCTTATAGGCAAGTAATAATATTTTGTAACTGATACGGAACTTAATAGGTAGCCAGTGCAGAGACTGTAAAATTGGGGTAATATGATCATATTTTCTTGACCTGGTAAGGACTCTAGCCGCTGCATTTTGGACTATCTGTAGCTTGTTTATTGAAGATGCAGGACAACCACCTAGCAGTGCATTACAATAGTCCAGTCTAGAGGTCATGAATGCATGAACTAGCTTTTCTGCATCAGAAACGGGTATCATGTTTCGTAACTTGGCAATGTTTCTAAGATGGAAGAATGCTGTTTTTGTAACATGGGAAATATGATTTTCAAAAGACAAGTTGCTTTCTAATATAACACCCAGATTTTTGACTGTAGAGGAGGTAACCGTGCATCCGTCTAGTTGCAAATTGTAATCCACGAGATTCGGCGTACTGTCTTTTGGTCCAATAAGTAATATCTCTGTCTTATCCGAATTTAATAGGAGAAAATTATTGGTCATCCATTCTTTTACATTTTTAACACACTCCGTTAGCTTAGATAATTTAGAAGTTTCATCTGGTCTTGTTGAGATATATAGTTGAGTATCATCAGCATAACAGTGGAAACTAATCCCGTATTTCCTAATAATATTACCAAGTGGCAACATGTATATGGAAAATAGCAGAGGACCTAGGACAGATCCTTGTGGCACTCCAATTTGACTGGTGATAAATTGAGATGAAAAAAAAAAAAAAGTCAGAATTGTGAGATAAAAAAGTAACTTTTAAATTACTTTATTCAGTGGCGGAAACGTGCTTCAATAGAAATCAGTACCACATGTGTTACCAAACCAGGTCCTGGCCCAGTCTCGCGGTCCTTGCCACAAAAAAAAAACACTATCGCTTTATGACTCAAAGGAACCGATACACCAAATCGAAATGATTCGCTAAAAAGATTCAAACAACCAAACAAGAAGAAACAGATCCGTGCAACAGGTGTGTTTGCTAGTAGTTTGTTCCGCCTACATAATTCGTCAACAAAGCCAACATACCCAAGATGGTAAGAAATCACGCACTGTTGCCTGGGGCGAGATACACAGGCATATTTGGACTGTTTTGTTTTATAGATATTTTCATGTTCACCGTACCCCGAGTGCTTCTGACAGGTCCGACGAGTATTTACACAAGTCTTTTGTTGCAGCTATGCTAAGAATGAAACACAAACCCACACTTATTTGCACACAGGTTTATCTGGCTGTCCAGGAGACGTTATGTTGCATAGTGTATTAATGTGTATTGAAGCGTATTAATGTCAAATAGCGCCATTCAAGACAGTAAGACTATTGTTTGAGACGAGGGCAGTCACATTCCCATGGTTCAACTCAACGTCATCATTTATTTAGTTGATTATTTAATTATTTTTGGCATTTTCGCAGTCACAATACATTCAGCTTCAGAATATCATAATAGAATAGACAAATCACACCAAATATTTAATATCACATTTCATACAAAAATCTAAATCTTTTATAAAACATTTAGACATCATCTAAGTTTATTTAATACCATAGTTTATTTTTTTTCTGGCAAAAGTTCACTGAGAATAAAGAAAACACTTGTCAAAATACATATATTTATATATTAATTATTTTCAATAGAGTAATTAAAATATTTTCATTTACCACAAAACATAAATTAGTGCCGCTTCTTCAGTAATGGTAAACTAAATAATTTTAAGTCATTATATTTTCTTCTTTGTCAGTCATTCTCAATTTTTCTGTTCCCCGGTGGCCTTTAAAGGGGTCATAGGATGCCCATTTTCCACAAGTTGATATGATTCTTTGGGGTCTTAAGGAAAAGTCTGTAACATAGTTTGGTTAAAATTTCTCAATGGTAGTATAAAAAGCAATTTTTTTACCCTGTCAAAAACAGCTCTTTTCAGAGCAAGCCGTTTTTGTAGCATTTTCCTTTAAATGTTAATGAGCTCTGCAGACCCCGCCCCTCTCTTCAGAGCCGCTCTCAGAGAGACTGTTTACTTTAGTTATTATACTGTTATTCATCGTGAAACTTGCTATTTAGCACATTATTAGGAAAGGCAATTTGCAAAGATTCATTACAAAACATTATACTCACTTCTTCTGAAGATGAGGCTGGATCATGAATAATTCGCGCGAACATAGATGCATTTATATAGATCGTGGGCGCATTCCCTTCAGAAACAATGTAATCCACTGCGTCTTCAGCGGCTCAGATGTCGGGAGTAAATGACGACTGCTATGTTCATTATTACATCCAACAACAGAACACCTCAATCACTTAGGAGTCATTCTTGTCTACATCTGCGAAACAATAGAGGACTGATGACAGCTCACTCAGGGCGGAGCTAAGGTAAGACGCCAGTACAGTCTGTGCTGAAACGCTACTGTCAATCAAACTATCGTGGGAGGGGCCTGTCTTTGTGACATCACACAGACAGGCATCAGAGATCGGCTTGATTTGAAAAAGGGGAAAACATTTAACCAGATAAAAAAAAAAACACCAGGTGGATTTTTATCATTATAGGGTGGTTGTGTACACACACTGCCAACACACATTTCAGTTCAAACTACTTTCTGTTCAAGCATCCTATGACCCCTTTAGATGATTAAGCTTTTCATTTCCGTCCACAGTAAAACTAGCTTGTGCTCAGTGCCGTTTACAATAAAGAGTCATAGTGCTTTCATTTTTAAACTACAAGATACAGTAGGAGTAGGTGAACAATAATTAGGTTTCAGGTCCAGGACACTTGCATGCCATGTGCAAATACAGAGTAGCACTTAGCTTAAATGGAAAACCGAATATCTGCACGTGCAATTACTTGAAAGGACCGAGATCCTTGAGGAGATTGAAGTAGATGGTTTTTCGAAAAGCGTAAAATTGGACCCCATCATCTCTTACGGTCTGCAAAAGGCACCTCTTGATGATATTTTAAATTAGTAACTAGTCAAAGATGCTGTAAGCGAGTACCACAGCTTTTTTCCCCCTAGCCAATCAGAAACACTCTATGCCTGTCAATCATTTTGTGGACAGGACGGGATTTAGAAGAAAGGTCTAATTTTGTTGGCCAAAATCACTTACAGCACCTTTAGTAGCCAAAGTTCAATGGTATTATGACAGGATTCAAGTAATTCTCTATTCAATGGCTCAAATATTTACGACAATTTACATTTTTAATGTGTCAACCCCTCTCGATATTAAAATATTGAATGAACGCTTGTGAAATAAAGCGCAATATGAGCTTGTGCAATGACTCGTCAAACACGTATGGCAAAACAAGTTAAACTTCAAACAGAAATGAAGGCAGTTTCACTCAATGGGAAAAGTAGGACACGAAGCTACCATGTTTCTTACACATACTCACGCACAATTAAATATACTATGAACATCTGAAAATACTACTAGATCCAGGCGGAGAAGAGGCCAAACTCAAGTCTGAGGCCTGGTTTCACAGTCAGGGCTAAGACTAAGCCAGGTTTAGCCATAGTTCAGTTAGGACAGGGGTGCCCAAACTCGGTCCTGGAGGGCCGGTGTCCTGCAGAGTTTAGCTCCAACTTGCCTCAACACACCTGCCTTTAAGTTTCTAGTATGCCTAGTAAGAGCTTGATTAGCTGGTTCAGGTGTGTTTAATTGGGGTTGGAGCTAAACTCTTCAGGACACCGGCCCTCCAGGACCGAGTTTGGACAGCCCTGAATTAGGACATGTAAGTATCTTTTATAAACGTTCCTTAGAAGAAGAAAGAAAAAAAACATTACTGGTGTGCATCTTGAGACAAAACAATGTTTTAAAATATGTCAGTGCAAGTTTCTTTCAGCTAAAACAGCTCATGCATTTTAGTTTGGAGCTAGGCTAAAGCCTTGTCTGTGAAACCAGGGGTAAATGTCTTTAAAGATTTGAGCTTTAGGATCGGTGTGGTTTTTAGGTTTAAAAGAGACTGCAAGAGAGATTTAATTGAGCCTTGGCCACACTTTTAACCAGCTTATGTTATGACTGAGGATGATTCACTTCTATTGAATCTGTTTTCTGAAGTACATGTTTGTGAATGGATGCATGCATGTTTTGGATGGAGAAACAAAGCTGTTTGCTTCATAATGGTTTTGTTCTGGTGATTTCTTCATGCACACCGCATTGTTTCTTGTCCTCAGAATATGCTTTGCCTGCGGTTCTTGCCTCGACCTGGATTTGGAGAAAATGACCCATTGTTAGACAGATCTGCAGGAGTGCAGGTGAGGTGAAAGCGCTTTCTTACAGGTTTACAGATGGGATTAATGTTCCTTGTGCATGACTAAACATGATCAAGTTGCGCTCTGCAAATAGAGATGAGGGATGTCAAAGCAATGGAATTGAATACCCGGCGGCAGGAATACTGAGCTCTTGTGTCCCGGATCCTTCTGTAGCTGGATCTCCCTCAGTGAAAACAGAGATGAGGCTGGAGAGGATAGAAGACAAGTGGGTGATGATCAAAGCAAATGTATTTTCTTCTTTGTTGTTTCATCAAGGTGAAAGACAGATGATAAGGCTCGTGTTGAGGTGATGTTATGTAAGCAGACAATCTAGAAATAGCATAAGTATTGGGATGAACTCACTGTCAGGTATGGAGTGGATGTTCTCGCCCAGAGTCAGGAAGTAAGAGTGTCTCAGAGACGACTCGGCGGAAATCCTGCGCTTGGTGTCATACTGAACAGAAAACAAAAAGAAAAAAGGGAAATGTATATTTTGTTATTAGACATTATATTTGAATATAAATATTATAATATAAACAATATTAATATTATACATAATGTTTCATTATATTAAGCATATTCAGCATATTAAGGTTTTATTTGTTTATATATATTTATAAATTATTTTGTATATATTTTAAATATAAATATTATACATTTCTTATTGTTTTCTAAAAATGTAACATTGATATCATCAATATTTTTTGGGTTTCTCAGAAAAGAAAGCCTTCATTTTAAATGTAACAGTTGTATCAATTTTTAGAAGTACAGTAGATACTCTCTAACATTTATAAAAACATTTTAGTGATGTTCTCAAATTGCTAAATCTAAGAAAGAAATTATGTAGTTTTCACATTTAAAATTCTAATGTTATATTTTAGAGTTGAGGTTTTTCTATAGTGCCAGTTGAGAAAAACGGATCTATAGTTACCTTAACTATCTTTTATGATATATTATATATTATGTTAAAAAAAAATCACAATTTATATTAAACACGTTACACATTATATTTAACCATAAATATTATAATATAAATGAAAAATGTTTATCTATAGTGACCATAATTTGCCATGTATTACTATTTTTATTATAGCTATATTTCTATAATATAAGTAAAACTAAATGTACATAATATAAAAACAAATTAATCTTATATATATATATATATATATATGTATATATATATACAGTATATATATATATATATATATGTTTTATATTTTTTAAATGCAAATATTATAATATAAATTACATAATCTCTAGTGACCATAATTAGCTATGTCAAGATTAAATGTTTTATATTATGTAAATGATATATATATATATATATATATATATATATATATATAAACTTTGAATATTATAATATAAATTTCATAATGTTTTCTAGAAATATTAACATTGATGTCTGTTTTCTCAGAAGAGAAAGACTACATTTTAATTTGAATCAACTTTGAATAAAATTGTTTTATATTTTAGAAGTACAGTAGATACTCTCAAATCTAACAGAAATGCACTAAAAGCCAGAGAACTTGAATTTTGACCTTTTGTACACGTGTGCGCATGCGTAACGCTTCTTTCACTGTTTTGCACACCAGAGCGCACGTGTTGCCTGTGTTCTTTCCCGTCGTGTGTGCTCTTCACTAATGACTCGATTTGAGCACGGCTCCCCTGACTTGTTGATCCCCGAGCTATAAAATAGTTTTAAATAATGAAGCACCCATCACCCTGCTGTCATCTCACACAAAGTTATAAAATTGTCTCCGGCGAAGTTTGGCGGCGTTTCAAACGAGCAGAGCGTTCAGAGAGCATTGTGTGAGGCTGACGGCGCGATCAGTCAGCGGGGTTTGATGAGAAACAGGTGCACGGTTCGGACTCATTAAGGCCGCTGTCACCATTAACGAATCGCGCACTCCGCGGTCTTTCATCATAATGACAGGTCAGAGCGCACTCAAGCTGCGCGTGCCATCAGAACGCACAAAAGAGAAGGAGAGAAACGCATTCACGTTTCTGCACAAATACCGCATTCTACCGAAATACAAACGCACATAATCTTAGACTTCCCATTGACTATTCTGTTGTTGTTAAATTAAACCTCTGATACCATCAGGGTACATGGTACATTTGTAGGTGCAGATTTTATTTAGGACACTATTTGGCACAGCCCTTTTAATCACATTTACTGTCATACTGGAGACATTATAGTATATTGACTTTTAAAGTTTGTAAATTAAGCTTATCATAATAATTTGCTTGTTTTAGCTGGCGTTCCAGTCTGACCAGCCAAAAAGTGGCCCAAAACCCCACTAAAACCAGAAAAAAAGACCAGTCTGATGATGGGTATGTTTCCCAAAAGCAACTATGGTTGCACGTTTCATCGTTACCATTTGAGTTCAATGGAACTAATGACCATAGTTAGCTAACGATGCCTTTTGGGAAACACACCCCAGGATGGGAGACCAGCAAAGACCAGTAAACTCACTTTAGTGTGTGTGTGTGTGTGTGTGTTTGTACCTGGTATTTATCACGTTATGGGGACCAAATGTCCCCACAAGGATAGTAATACTAGTAAATGTTGACCTTGTGGGGACATTTTTGAGGTCCCCATGAGGAAACAAGCTTATAAATCATAAAGTATTCGTTTTTTTGAGAAAGTAAAAATGCAGAAAGTTTCCTGTAAGGTGTAGGTTTAGGTGTAGGGTAATAGCACATACAGTTTGTACAGTATAAAAACCATTACGCCTATGGAGAGTCCCCATAAAACATGGAAACACAACATGTGTGTGTGTGTGTTTTAAATAAAGACATATTTAGTTGTTCTGTGAATAATTTTTTCTCAAAAGAACATCTTGATGACTTAATAAGCTAAGCATAATGGTTGGTTTTACCTGTTTTTTAATTAATTAATTTCTGGTTTAAGCTCTAAAACTAGCAAAAAAGCTACTGACCAAGCTTAAACTGTTTTCTTTCTTTCTTTCAGCAGGGTGCAAAAATATTTTCAAACTCTAAACTTAATATACATTGTTTGGCTTTTTTTTTTTTTTTTGAAGCACATTCTGTGAATAATTTTTTCTCAAAAGAACATCTTGATGACTTAATAAGCTAAGCATAATGGTTGGTTTTACCTGTTTTTTAATTAATTAATTTCTGGTTTAAGCTCTAAAACTAGCAAAAAACAGCCTGACCAAGCTTAAACTGTTTTCTTTCTTTCTTTCAGCAGGGTGCAAAAATATTTTCAAACTCTAAACTTAATATACATTGTTTGGCTTTTTTTTTTTTTTTTGAAGCACATAAAGTTGCTCTGTCAATAATTTTTCTTGAACAATTTTTCATGCAACTTTATATCATATTGCCTTTTAATCATAATAGTTTGCTGGTATTACAGTCTGACCAGGCTGGGAGACCAGCTGAAATCAGCAGACCCACTTTTTTGTTCTTTTTCTGAAGACATCTGCATTTTTTTTGTCCCCAAATGTACACTGGAATAAAACAATTATGTAGCAACATTGTTTACTTAGAAATTGCTAGTAAATTTCAGAATTAATTACAAAGACAGCAAGTAACCCAATTAGTTAAATTTTGCAGTAGATAAACTGAAATAGTATTTCCTTGTAAAATGTACTCCATTAATCATTTGTTTTATTTACAACTTCGTAAAATCATTTTTTACAGTGTATAGCTGGGTCAGTAACATGCATTACTGTATGCAATGTCTACTGCAGACTACAGCCAAAACGCTATGATCAGCATTGAGTCGCTGGAAGAGTCTTTAGCCTGTGGCAGCCCTCTTTGTTCAGTCATTCCCCCAACATAATCTTGAACAATATTCCTCTGAAAGGTCCTTACTCTTGCCTGTACCTGAGTGAAGCGTGGAGGTGTCTGCATTTGTTTACCTGTGTTTTGACAATGCTATAATGCTCCGGGCCTGACGCCCCTGCCTGTATCAAACTAATTGGACCTGGAGGAGAGCACGCAGAGAGGTGAAGCTGACACCATAATTAGCTTCTGAGCTCACTCCGTCTCGGCAGCGAAACTCTTTAACAAGGGGCTTTTTTCACCCAGAGATTTGTGGGAGCTGAAGACTATTGCAGTTCCATGGCATTAAACAGCACCTCGCTGGCCTCTGCACTTGTGCTGTGTGCTTGTTAGAAATCTCACACATACCGGTAAATAATATCTGATCACATGCTAGAGCTTGATCCATGTTTTGTTTTTTTCTTTTTAAATTATACGGATTTGAATTATAATTGATTGATTTGAATTGATTAGTACATATAGATTTTAATTTATTAGTGGTTGATCTGATTTTTTTAAATTATTTAAATTCTTAGTTTTGCCACAATGATTATAATTGGACTGTAGAATACTAGATTGTTTTTAAGGGTTATTACTTTTGCGATTATTCTGATATTTTATTAATAATAATGATAATAATAATTGATTAGTAGTTGATATTTAAATTGATCTGATCTTTAATAATTATTTCTGAATTTGCACACAATAATTTATAATGATTAGACTATTAGAATACTAGGGGGTTGTGTTATCAAAACATAAATTCGAATATTAATTTGTGAACAATGATTGCAAAACATAGATAACATATATGGATAAATATCATGACATTTTATATTATTATTAGTAGTAGTAGTAGTATTCATTTTAATTGGTCAGTAGTTTATTTTTTAATTCTTATAATTTTTAATAATTATTTTATTTCTAGTGTTTGACACAATGCATAATGATTAGACAATTAAAATACCAGGGGGCTGTGTAAAAATTGAATTTGAACATTAATTTGTGACCATTCTGATTACAAAACAATTTGAATAAACATGGTCGTAAATATTATTTATAATATTGTTATTGGTAATAATAGTAACAACAACAATATTAATACTTATTATAATGGTAAAAAAAAAAAAGCTACAGGTCTGTATTTCATGCTTGAGAATGAAGGCTTTTACATCAATTATTGTATTTTGTAGTGACTTAAGTTAATGTGGCATAATGGCTTTGTTGGAAACCCACCAAATAGATTTCTATTAACCAATAGAAAAGAATGTCAGTATTATTGGATTATCAGTCTCTTATTATGCAGATGTCAACAGAATTGTATGCATGGTTGCATGGACATTATTGTTATTATTGTTAGTGTTTTTAACAATAAATAGACACTTTATCAGATTGAACTATAGTGACTTACTCACATTTTACTACCAAAATAGGCAGTAATATTCCTGTTTCATCCATACTATGATACCAGAAATATTGTCTTCCTGCTATTCTGCCATATGCCATCCTTTGATGACCTCTTTCATCAGCAGGGCGTTTCTAAACACAGTACCACCACTGGCTAGCTGTGTGTGTGTTTTTGGACTTCAGTACAGCCCTGCAGGGCTGTTGTTTTTGACATCTGACACAGACTGGCAAATCCTTATATTGCGTAAATCTATTGCCTCTCATCTTACTGGCTCCTCCTTAGCATTCCAACAAATGGAAAGTTGTCTACACAGAGCAATGCACCTCAGATGATATTTATGTTAAGAATGTATACATAAATACAGGGATCGATGCTTACTTTTCACATGTGCTCCTAATTTGAAACATTTAGGAGGGCATAAAGACCTAAAAGTGCATGAAAGTGTATCATAGAATTAGTTTTCCCTTAAAAAAAGGGGATATGAGGAGATATTTACATGCAAAATGATTTAATTTAATTGAATACTAAAAGTACACTAGGTTTTCTAATATTTATGCTTCAAACTGTTTGCTTAGAAAAGTTCACCCACAAAATGTAAATTTGCAGAAAATTTGCTCATCCTCAGGCCATACAAGATGTAGATGAATTTGTTTCTTCATTGGAACAGATTTGGAGAAATTTAGCATTCCATCACTTGCTCACCAATGGATCCTCTGCCGTGGATGGGTGCCGTCAGAATGAGAGTCCAAACAGCTGATAAAAACATCACAATAATCCACAAGTAATTCACACCACTCCAGTCCATCAATTAATAAGCTGTGTGTTTGTTAGAAACAAATCCATCATTAACGTGTTTTTGTCATATGATGTTGCTAAAAAGAATATTATTTGGTGTAGTGAAATATGTTTATGCGGTTTAAGGTAAAAAAAACCACATTATTTTCCACATACTGTACATTATTGTTTCTCCTCTATGCCCCCCTTTCTGAAACGCGTTGATTTTTACAAAGCTCATCAGTCTGAAAAGTGAGGTGTGCTCTGATTGGCCAGCTATCCAGTGCATTGTGATTGGCCGAATACCTCAAGCATGTGACGGAAATGTTACGCCCCTCACCATATTGTGATGATGCCCTGTCCGGCCGGGGCGACGAGACAAAAACATTAAAACCCATTATAAACGAGGCATTTGTTGCATCCAGTGGGGACATAATTACTGATTATAATGACTTATACTGTCTTTTTACGCGTTGCGTTGCATCGCGCCGTGTAAACATAAAACCTTGTCTGCATTTGTGATCTGCATTTGAGAAATGACAAACAACAAGCGCTACTCTACACTGCTCAAAACTCTCGTTTGAATCGTCAGTGGCAAATTCTTTAAATATAAAAAACGTACTTACAGTCTGTGAGTCAGAACAGCCAGCATTGTAGTCTACTCTACCAGGTTCAGGAAACAGTCCTCCATAAAATGTGCTGCACACATCTGAATATTTGGGTTGAACTGTTCTGGAACCGATCCGGTGATCTACAGCGCGAAGTTGATGTATTTCCTCAGCGATCAGCACGGATCAGCTCCAGGCATGACGAAGCAGATATCGTCCTCTTTTGGAAGGCCAAACAAAGTAGTTTCGCTTTCACAACGAAGCACACAGCGTCTTCACGACATGGCGGCAACAACAATACTACAGCGAGAATAAAAGTTACGCCTTCTTTCTTTGCGTGATCATTTGGGCGCCGTTATGCAAATCTTCCCACTTCGTGACATAGATATGTGGGGGCGTGTTAGAACGAGCCGTTTTAGGTAGGTGTGGCTGATTCTTAACTTTTATAAAGAATATCTCTTTGGATTTGAGTTTGAGATTTTTAGTCTTTGCAACTTTACAGATCTTCTTTATGCACCAAGAGGTTGTAACACTCCAAAGAGAAAGGAAAAATTGAAATCGCATCATATGACCCCTTTAACTTCAAACCATTTTCGACCAAAGTATGAGTCCTCTATCTATAATATTGCATTCTGCAGTGGAAAAGTTGTCTTGTCTGAATCAGGAGAGAAATATGCACAGATCAAGCACTGTTTACAAGTGAAAATGGTCCACAACAGTTTTAAACAAATGTGTCAGTGGGTTTTTATGTGAGAGGATAACATTATGGACTGTATTTTGTCTAGAAGCAATAGTTTAAAGTTAAAACATCTTAACAAAGGATTTTTTATCCCTAAAAAGATGTATCTTTTTGCTTCACAAGATGTTAATTGATGGACCGGGGTTGTGTGGATTATTGTGATGTTTTTATCAGCTATTTGGACTCTCATTCTGACGGCACCCATTCACTGCAGAGGAGCCATTGATGAGAAAGAGATGTAATGCTGAATTTCACCGAATCTGTTCCCATGAAGAAACAAACATCTTGGATGGCCAGAGGGTGAGTAAATTTTCAGCCAATTTTTTTTTTTAGGTGACCTATTCCTTTAGAAATTACGAAATTATGTATATTGAAAACATTGTATTTTGGTTACAAAAATAACCATTTAATGGTATTTAATTAAGATCATAACCAGGAAAAAAAATTGCATACTGTGGGACTTTTAATTATAAACAAGCCTGCAATACTCAAGCTTGTGATGCATTGACTGAGGCTTCAAATTTGTGTTTGCATACTTGCATAAAGTATGTTTCTATCTCAAATCAGAATAATCCAACTTTTTTTTCTGTCAGATTTTCACTCACCAGCAATAGAGCCGAAAGAAGGTCTATTCCCTCTGTGTCAAGCCTTAAAAAAAAAAAAATCACAAACACATGCTTGTGTATTAAAATATTCACCATATATAATTCATAGCATGCAAAGTCTCCAAAACATGCTCTGTTGTTATTTATAGATATAGGTGTGTTTTTGTTTGTACATTTTATTTAAAGAAGCCAAAAACTAGTCCTGTTGCATGCAAGTTAGTTTGTGGTGTACGTGTGGTACCTGGGCACATGATTAATGAGCGCTTGTGCTCTGTACTGAGGAAACAGGTAGGATTTGAATTCATCATTAGCTGTGATTCTGGGCCAGCTCTCCTCAGTTGGGGTGCCTGGTTACGGAAAGAAGTGTAAGAATTTTAGTATGTGTCCTACAGTGAGATAATTAGACCTTCATTCTGCCTCAGACGGTGCACCCACGACCACCCACAGTCTGTTCACTGACCGCCTGATGCATATTGCATAAAAAATGGCTGATGTTTTGTTGATCTGGCAAGCTCTGATTAGGTTGGCTGGCTTTGCACAGCTTCTGAATCGAATTGCACAGGTTGTCATGTTTACAGCTGGCTGCTAGAACGAGCGCTTATGAGGAGCATGTAATCACTCAATCACAGAGTTTGCCAGTAAGTCAAGTTGTTTTCTGTGAAACAAGTAGTTTTGGAAAACAAAAAAAGCAAAAACAATACATACAAGGGCAAACTCTGAATGATTACTTCTGTGCATTCATTGTAATATTTTTTTTCAGTCTGTGGTCTTGTCCTGTGTATAAATGAGCAAAGGTTATTATTATTAATATTATTTAAGAAATTGTTACTTTTATTTACAAAGGCCACATTAAATTGACAAAAATTGGTTTTTATTTCAAATCATCATATGTGACCCTGGACCACAAAACCAGTCTTAGGTCGCTGGGGTATATTTGTAGAAATAGCCAAAATACATAGTACAGGTCAAAATTATTGATTTTTCTTTTATGCCAAAAATCATTGGGATTTTAAGTATTTTAGGAATACTAATTAATTAAATTTCCTACTGTAAATATATCAAAACTTAATTTTTGATTAGTAATATGCATTGCTAAGAACTTAATTTGGACAACTTTAAAGGCGATTTTCTCAATATTTAGATTTTTTTTGCTCCCTCAAATTCCAAATGATCAAATAGTTGTATCTCGGCCAAATATTGTCCTATCCTAACAAACCATACATCAATGGACATCTTATTTATTTAGCTTTCAGATTATGTATAAATCTCAATTTCGTATTTTTTGGTTTTGTGGTCCAGGGTCACATATTAGAATTACTTCTGAAAGATCATGTGACACTAAACACTGGAGTAATGATGCTGAAAATTCAGCTTTGCATTACAGAAATAAATTGCATTTTATAATATTTCATAATTCAATTTATTTAATGCCATTTAATAATTCAAATAGAAAACTTTTTTAAAAATTGTAATAGTATTTTGCAATATTACTGGTTTTACAGTATTTTTAATCAAATAAAAGCAGCATTGGTGAGCATAAGAGACTTCTTTTAAAACCTTTCTGACCAACTTTTGAGTGCCAGTGCATCGTTGTGTTCAACTAGACCAGGGGTAGGCAAGTTCGGTCCTAGAGAGCCGCAGTCCTGCAGAGTTCAGCTCCAACCCTGAAAACAAAACTCACCTGCCTATAGCCTTAGTAATCCTGAAGACATTGATTAGCTTGTTCAGGTGTGTTTGATTAGGGTTGGAGCTGAACTCTGCAGGACTGCGGCTCTCTAGGACCGAACTTGCCTACCCCTGAACTAGACAAATTGATCTAATTAAAATGAGAAATGTAACATTTAAATATGCAAATGTAACCAGATTTTCACATTTGCCCAAGAAACCTCAAAAGGGGGGTTTCATAGTAATGCCATAAGAGAACCATTTCTTTTTAACCACTCAATTCTGAAAGAACCTTTTTTTTTATAGTGTAAAGTTCATTGCACATTTTAATAATCTAAAAAAAAAACTTTTCCACTATAAAGAACCTTTTGTGGATTGGAAGGCTAAAAGTTCTTCATGGAACCAAAGATGCCAATAAAGAACCTTTATTTTCAAGATATTAATTTATACATAATTAAAATGACACAAAATGTCTCTCATACCCATAAGCCGAAATATCAGGTGTAGTTCCTCTTTGACAGTGGATCCAGGAAACATGGGACGGCCTGCCGCCATTTCATACAGGATACAACCCACGCCCCTAGTCATACAGAGACATCCATCATATTCCTGCTGCGTTATGATCATAAAATCTCTTTTCATTTCATTGCTGTTATTCTATACGTCAAAGCTTTTAAATGAAGCCAGCAGACATCATTTGAATATATCAGATCAGGGCTGTCACAGTTGTTTTGAGAATATTCTCCTATCACAGTCTGACGTCTGCTTGACTGGAGGGTAGTTTTGGGGAAGCTGCGAGGTGGAGATATGGGAAAGACACATGTGGCTGCTGTCACGATCGGATTGATTAGCCCACTGGACTAATCCTGAGGAGGATTAAACACCACGGCATTTTTATCGAACAGGACGGCTTAGCTTTAAAAAAGCATTTATGTCCGAGTCCGTGTCAGCTATCCAGGGTTGCCTGAGGAGTGCGTGTCAGGGTGTGCTTGTGACGTTAAAAGGTTGTGTCAGGAAAGACAGAATTCAATTTTCTAACTTAATGTTTCTTCTGGAGGACTGAGCAACAGTCAAGAGCTCTTTGGCATGATCAAAAGGCAGTTTGGTGTATTATTTCATAAAGTTCATAAATGGGATTTTTTTTCTAAAACAAAAGGTTATACCTATTCATTTAGATATTTTGACATGCAACGTTGAATAAATAAAAAAAGACTATTGAATGAGTTTGAGTGCTGAGAAAGCAAAAAAGTTCCAGTGGTGGCAATGATAGTCCAGCAATCATCTCGACAACGTACTAATAGTTCATAAAGAGAATCTGACTCATGTCAACAATAGAAATGTTTTGCCTATATTTAAGATGCATGTATATCAATTCCATATAGAATTTCCATCCAATACAGTTTTAACATTAACTTATTCATCAGTCATACATGAATAAAAGAGATTTATATAATGGTACTAATGAACTGAACTACGTTTAAAAACACAATAACCAGGTATATATAATTATCAGAAATCTAATTTACAATATGTAGACCAATCTCATACATTTTAACTAAGTGTTCCACAGCTAGCCATATTTTTTTACCAGTTACATTTATTCAGTTTATTCAAATTAAAGGAATACCTTATGGAAATATTTAAATAGATGCAAATATTTAGTAATAAACTATGGCATGATTTATTTAGAGTGTAGAGAGTTAAATTAATCTAATTCAACTAATTTCTCATTTAAATGGTTAGATTTGTTTATTTAAATTGGCTAGTTTAAATGGTTAAATGTGTCTAGAGAGAAAATATGAGTGGTGCTTTGTTTGCAAATGTAACTTAATTTTCTGTCTTGTTTGGTTCGATTGAATCGAACTCAAGTTCGTTTCCCCCCTTGGTGCGGATCATTTGGGCAGGTGTGAATACAGCAATCGCACTCGGGTGCGGACCAAACAACCGTACCGAGACCCAGCTGAAGAGGTGGTCTCGGTCCGCTTCCAAACGAACTCTGGTATGGTTGAATGGATAAACCAATGAATGGATGACCTTAAGCACATGTGTGGTTTTGTTTACAGTTTCTGGTTCACAAAAGGGCAGTGTGAAAGCGAACCGCACCAAACAAAAAAAAATAAACATTGTATTTGGTCCGGACCAAAGAAAGTGAACTAGCGGACTTTCCTGGTGTGAATACACCCTAATTTAAATAGTTAAAATCGACTGTTTAACTTAAAGGGTTAGTTCACCCAAAAATGAAAATTCTGTCATTAATTACTCACCCTCGTGTTGTTCCAAACCCGTAAGACCTTCGTTCATCTTCGGAACACAATTTAAGATATTTTTGATGAAATCTGAGGGCTCTCTGACCCTACCATAGACAGCAAGGTAACTACCACGTTCAAGGTCCAGAAAAGTACCAAGATGATCAACAAAGTAGTCCGTGTGACATCAGTGGTTCAACTGTAAAGTTACGAAGCTACGAGAATACTTTTTTGCGCAAGGAAAACAAAAATAACTTTATTCCACATTTTCGTCTCTACTGCGTCACTTGTGGTCGCGCGTTCACGACAGTATGATGATGCGTGCGTGTGGCGGCGCTGACCCAGATCTGGCGTAATGACGTCATCACGCCGGATCTGGGTCAGCGCCGGCGCCGCCACACGCTTGCGTCATGGTACTGTCGTGAACGCGCGTTACCTTGCATAGAGCCCTCAGATTTCATCAAAAATATCTTAAATTGTGTTCCGAAGATGAACAAAGGTCTTACGGGTTTGGAACAACATGAGGGTGAGTAATTAATGACAGAATTTTCATTTTTGGGTGAACTAACCCTTTAAATGTGTATATTTCAGTGGTTCAATTTGTCAAATGATTATATTTGTGTTATATAAACAGTTAAATTGGTTTAGTTTAAATGGTTACATTTATATTATTTAAATGGTTAAATCTGTCTAATTTAAAAGGATATGTTTAACAAATTTTCACATTTGCTGTGACGTTGTTTACTAACCCAAGTCAAAAGAGCTTAGCCTCCAGTATATAGCATGATTTATAATTTTAGCTGATGGACTATTTTTGCCTTTTTATAGTCTGTGAGCATTGTTTATGAGCAGTATTAATAGTTTTGCTTATCTTTCATAATGTTAGCAACACATTGTGGCCGATGCCATACAGTAGTACTATTGTGTTCAATGTTTTCTAGCAGCGGTTTATGGGAGCAACATCTTACCACATGTCTAGCGGTGTTGAGTACTCCGTGGAACCCAGCAGGACATCAGGAGGTCGATACCACAAGGTCACAACCTCATTTGAATAGGTTTTTGTTGGAACTGATTTTGCTCTGGCCAAACCTTAATAAGTAAGATTATACAGATAGTTAAGGCGATGAACAAACGTTGCTGGGTAAGCCAGAATCTGAGCCAAAAGCTGATTTCAAATGGGAGTCACATGGGAGACCGCTGCTGGGTAATGTGCTAAAAAACAAGTCAGATATTCTTTGTACAGCACACCAAAGTAAACGCATCTGTGAATATTCAGGCCTTGTAAGAACGTCTTACCAAAGTCTGCCAGTTTGAGTTCTCCCTTGTCATTAATGAGCAGATTCTGAGGCTTCAGGTCCCGGTGGAGAATCTTCCTCTTATGACAATATGATAAACCACGAAGAAGCTGGAACATAAATATCTACAAGGACAGAGAGGCGGATGTTAGCGCTTCCAACAAGGACAGCATTTTAAGGCATACAAAATGTAGGCAGCTGCCTTCTAAGATACCTCATTTTCACCTAGTTTTAAAGCAACATCACATGCATCGACTGCGGATAACGCATTACAAAATACTTGAATGAAGAAAATTCTGCTATATTTTTTTAAATTCAATAAAGATGTGGCTTACCAGATACTCAAAGACAAGGGTGAGACATCGGTCCGTATGGATGATGTCATGCAGCGTTACGATGTTGGCGTGTTTCAGGTTCTTCAGCAATGACACTGGTGCAACACAACAAGAATATGATAATGAGCAGCTACAACAATAACCTCCGGCAGGGCTGTGCAAGATTCAGAATTGAAATCTTTTGAAATTCTAATCCAGTTCCTGAATTTTAATCCAGAATTGTCATTCAAATGAGAAAATGGCTCTAAGTGTGGTATTGTAATAATTAATACTGAAAAATTAAATATTACCCATAAACAGCCAACATATTGGCTATTTAGGGAAATATATAATTAATATTTAATTTTTAATAAAATGTGCATTATAATGTAATCTATATATTTAAATATTCTACCAGTGTGTGTGTGTGTGTATATATATTTAAATATATTAATGACTAATCAGTTACTATGAAATTAGCCCTAAAAATATTCTAATATGCTTTGCTGCTCAATACAGATTTCATATTATTATTTATCTTGAAAACATTTGCTTATAATTTTTGTGAAAACAAAAATCCCCCACTGCTGGATTACTAATATTATTAAATATTAGTATTTTTATCTAATAGCTAATATGATTTATTAAATTTATTTGTCATTTTTATTAAAGAATTAGTAATTTACCTCTCATTTTAAGTCTTTTTTTATGCAACAGGAAAGAATTAAATATTAAAGTGAGAATGAGTGGACACTTTTACTGAGGTCTTCTGCATCTCAGATTTTTCTTTAGAGAAAGGGATCCCCGCAACATTAAATCTGAAACAAGTTGATACTTAAATGAAGTCCCAGAGCTATAAAAGAATTGCTTTCTGAATTATGCCTAACTCTGACCTCTCATGTCCTGACATGTTTTGTAATGCAGTGTGCATCATGGTATGTTCCCTCTAGCGTGAGCTCAGTAGCCACTGGGTGGCAGCCTTGCTTCACGTCAGCATTTTCCATTAGCAACCCCACTCACGTACTCCATCTCATTTAGATGGAGTGATTCAGGCTGGGTGAAGAAGACGCCTGTGGCTTGCTAGTTTAGAATGTATACTCTTCGTGACAATCTGGGTTTTGAACAACTGGCGAGCTTGAAATCATAGTTTGGTCAGTGAGAGAGGAGGACACCACCTTCCCGTATGGCCGTGCACGGGGCGCCCTCTTCGTGCTCCAGACGAATCTCTTTCAGGGCCACCAGGTTTTCTGTGAGTTTGCTGCGACCCTTGAATACTGTTGCGTATGTGCCCTGTTTGACAGACAGGAAGACAAAAATATGTCAATCATCTGGGAAACAGGAGTGGTGCAGAATAGATCAATGGTTCACAACTGGTTTTACTTGAGGATCCAGATTTGACCTTGGCAACCCAATGATGTATTGTACGAAAGCAAAAAGAAATGACTTGAAATCAGACATTACTCTTACCATAAATTGCATAAGCCCAGCAAGATGCCAAAATAAGAACATGTTTGGTTCTCAGATTTCTCTTGAATTTCAATGAACTGCACAAACAAGGTTAATCTCAGAGTTTATCCTTGTTTAGTTTTGTTCATTGTTGGTTTTTCAGGAAGAGGACATGTCATACAACCTGTCCATGTCAACATCTGTCTGATTTCACAAGCTTCTACCAAATGACATTAATTTATGCTAAAATATTATTGAATGGAAGCATAATCACTGATGTCAACAACAAGATATATAGTAGATAAAAACACATAGTCTATACTAAGTGCACAATATGGTAAGTTGCATTGTAATTTTGCATTCAACATGTTTTTATTTTTGCTTTCCTAAACCATATCAGACCTGCGGTCCACCAGATGAGAACCACTGGATTAGACCAGAAACTTCAGACAAATCTTTGGGAGTGTTGATCTAGTTTCTAGTTTGGTTAGAGATTTTTGTCTTTAACCACAATGTCAGCTGGGACGAGCTAGAAAATCAAAACTGCTCTTTAAAGCTGGTGAGCTATTGTTTATGGAAGTCATTTCATATTGAGATTACCCATTTGTTGGCTGGAGATGAGCTTCAAATTTCCCAAAAAATTTACTTTTGAGGTTTTTATGGTACTTTTTGGTACTTTGTTGTAAGTGGATGATAATTATAAGTAATAGTGGATCAAAATGTTTCTTTATCTATTGAAGTATAAAAATTGAGGTAGATTGAGATCCAAGATGTGGGCTGTTAACTGAAAGTTTGTACACGGTTTTTCAAATGTTTATAAAAGTCACTCTCTTATCTCACCAAGGCTTCATTTATTTGATCAAAAATACAGTAAAAATAGTAACATTGTGAAATGTTATTAGAATTTAAGAGTGTTTTCTATGTGAGTATATTATAAAAAAAGATGCTCCGATCAGGGTTTTTGAGGCCGATCACAGAAAGCAGTATCTGCCGATACCGATCACCGATACCGATCTTTTTAAAGCCTTCTTTTCATAATGTATAACTGTTTATAGTGATAGTCCAATCAGGATTTTTAGACATATATTCAGGGTCTGAATTTCATTTTTGAAAATGGGGGGAATTCCCCTCTTAGGTGACTCTTGTGAGGGGAAGCAGCTTTCACACAGGAGTCCGCTACTGATCTATTTACCACAAACACAACATTTATCCATTATTTTGATTTCAAATTTAAACATTGTCACTGAAAATGCTTTTTCAGCATTTACACAGTACAGTAATACACAGGCATGTTTAAACACAATAAATATAAGCAACACATTATTCAATGCTTTTTACTTTTGCATTTATTTCTAGATTTATATATTAAGTTGCTCAAGCAAGTGTCAAAACATTTAAACTGCTTTTCTTACGTTATCACAAACTTACCATTGACCGAAATAGTCAGCTCTACTGACTATTAATTTTATTTTATTTTATTATTATAATTATTTCACCCGCGCTGGACAGAGACTGAGACGGTGCCGCTGCATGTCGTGCCAGACCTTCTCACAGCAGCGTCATCAGCTTGAGATCGTGTTATTGAGATCGGCCATTTTTAGAGACCGCCGATCAATCATCCCAACGTGATTATCGGCCGATAGTGATCGGTAGCCGATCAATCGGAGCACCCCTATTATAAAATGTAATTTATTCCTGTGATGCAAAGCTGAAGTTTCAGCAGTCATTCAGTGTCACATGATCCTTTAGAAATTTTTCAAGAGACATTTTGAAAACACTTGTGCTTAATATTTTTGTGGAAATGGTTATAATAGTTCCAAAAAACAACCTTTTTTTGAAAATCATTTTTTAAACATTATAAATGTCTTTACTGTCACTTTTGATCAATTTAATGTGTCCTTGCTAGAAAAAAGTATTAATTTCTTTAAAAAAAATATATACAGTATATATATATATTTGAGTTTGCTTCAAAGCCTTCAGGTAGATCCATGAACTAAATCCCTTCATTTACTTAGCAAGACCAAAGATTCCTCCAAGGTGATTGTCCTTGTAAATTGATCATCCTTGTAAATTAATTTGTATAAAAGTGTCTGCTAAATGACATGCCTATAATAGGTCAAGGTTTGCGATATAACAGATATTTCACTCACAAAAGAGACTGAAACCATAGCACACTTTTAAAGATTTTATTAATTTCCCTGACTTTTCCAGGCAGAGCTAAAAGCACCTTTAAACATTAATGAAAACGTTTATAACTGCTGATACAAAGATATTGCTGCTATTTGTTTCTTTATTGAGGTGAACTCACTGCAGTCCTTGTCCAGTATTTTTTCCAATACTTCAGGTTTTTCTCACACATTCATTAGATACGGTATTCCTTAGGGTTGTATGTAGTACATTATTTCTCACAATTTGCAATGTGCATGCTTTGTTGCACTTAATGAAAAATTGACGGGCTAGTCGCTGTACAGCTTTGAGCATATTAGAGACTGATGTCTCTTCATGCCAAAAAAAAAGCCCATTAAATCAGAATCCACATTCAACACGACTCATATTCACTGTAATTGCCTGCGGGGAATCTCGTAATGAACACATTTGGTTCTTCATTTCGATGACTGCTGTTTTATGTTTTTAATTTTTGCTTATAGCATCTCTTTTTTTTTTCTTCACCCAGGGAACTGAAAACATCTTACCTCTCCTAGTTTTCCCAACTTCACATAGGTCTCCAGTTTCCCAAAGCCAATGTCCGACTGGAAAAGAATGGAATACAGTGTGAGCAAAGTGTCTTCAATTTATTGTTTGGTGACAACATTTATGAATAGTTTTTTGAGCTGTAAACAGTGCGTGGATATCAACATGTAAAGTGAGGCTGTTGTTAGGGTTGCTAGTATTGTTTAATGTGAAGTGAAGGGCATTGTGTAGGAACCACTGAGGTTTTTCTGTTTGTAGCAGAAGTACATGCTGAGTTAGACACAAAAAAAAACATTCTGCGCAAGAATGCGAATGCGACCAATGCTTTGAAAGCATGTAAACCTGAGAAAAAGAGAAAAATGGCTGTAGAAGACATTTATGATAATGTTTGTTATAGCAGTTCTTTTAGTAATGCTGTGAATGCATGTTGTGTTATTTATCATGTGTAAGTATTTTTAGGCTGTTTTGTAGATGAGGGGCATGCCAAGTAGTAAGTACACAACTCATTAAAAGTGCACAAACCTGTTGTGTATTGCACTATTCATAATAAGTTTGAAAGCAATAGTATAGCTTGACAGTAGACTAGAGTTGAACTTAATGATCACTAGAGTGCAATAATTGGGTTCTGGAAGTAAAAATACTATTTATTTTCTCCATAGTGGAATTCATTTTGAGGAAAAAAACGTATAAACCTTTTAAAACAGACCTACTGTGAGCTACAAGGTTGTTAATATGCTTCTGTTGAAGATAGGGATGTAACGATTACCAGTTTGACGATAAATCGTGATAAAATACCCCACGGTTAGTATTACCGTTTCATATTTTAATTATCATTATAACCATATTCGATTACCAAGATTTGAACAACTGAGGATAAATAAATACTGTACTGCACAGGGCTCCAGAGTGCGACCGAATGGGTGCATTTTGCGGAAAAATATTCTGCCCGTGCGACTAAATTGTGTGCGGTCGCACTGGCACGACTACCGCATTGTTTAACTCATTAGCGCTGCATTTCTATTGCATATGAGAAACATCAAAAGGCAAACGAAACTGAAACTCGTTTGAACTGCGCAGTGCATATAGAGTGTAGAGCCTGGTTTATACTCGCCGCGTCAGCAGGAGCGCGAAGGTGCGTGCAGCAAAAATGACGCGCATATTGAGGAAACAATGGATGGTTTTCATGCTGAAGTAAAGTAAAAGGCCGCTTCTTAAACCAAAGGTGAACATGTTGGTATTCTTGTGGGGGGAAAAACATGCAAGCACTTGTCACCGACAGCAACTTTAGTTTTACTTTTCTTTTTGTTTTCATTTTGAAAAGCTTGTTATCTTTGCTGTTTACCTCACGTTATGCTATGGAGGGATATGGATTTGATTCCTCAGTGTTTGCTAAACGTTCTGTAATTTATTAGTCGGTATGTAATACAGCATGTGGTGTATGCCATGCCTCGTCTTATTTGATTTTGTTAATAAACGTTTTGTAAGCTAGTTTGTCATTGTATCTTACGGTTTTATTGTTGTTATGCTTTTTAATTAAGAATAACAATGAATCCATCTTTTGTTTTAGTCTTAAAAAGTGAAATATGTGTAGATGTATGTAAGCAAATCAGACGATTATCTTTTCTTGTAAAACGTGACACTAAGATCGCGAATTCGAAAGTGAAAGCATCGAAGCCCGGCTTATAACATAGCTAAAGAGAAACTCCCTGTTCACAAAATTCAAATCACAAATAATACTGATGAAAAAGAAGGGGTTGAATGTTAACCACTTTTGTTTTCATATAACTATAAACTATGATAAAAGCTCATCAGCATGCATTGATTAATCCCTAAAAATAAAAATATTGCGACCAAGTCATGTGCTGGTGTGACCAACTGAGAAAGTCGCAAAAGAGCGACCAGTGGTAAGAATGAGTCTGGAGCCCTGAAGCATAAAACACAGTTTTATTACATTAGATATTTGAACATGTTATTAGATAAGCTGTTGTCAGTCATGTTGTCATTCAAAATCCGGACATCATTGGCAATGTTATTGTTTTAGTTATGCAAACAAAAACTCGACCAAGTCATGTGCTGGTGTCCAACTGAGAGAAAGTCGCAAAAGAGCGACCAGTGGTAAGAATGAGTCTGGAGCCCTGAAGCATAAAACAGTTTTATTACATTAGATATTTGAACATGTTATTAGATAAGCTGTTGTCAGTCATGTTGTCATTCAAAATCCGGACATCATTGGCAATGTTATTGTTTTAGTTATGCAAACAAAAACTCATTTTGTTTGTTGTTTGTTGATTTTAAATGTAAAACTTGGTGCAATTATTTGTGTCAGTACTTTTTGAACATTTCCAGCACATTTTAACGATACCGTGATAATACTGATAACCGTGATCATTTTGGTCACTATAACCGTGATAAGAAATTTTCATACCGTTACATCCCTAGTTGAAGACATCAGCCTGCATTATTTTAATTCATCATGTTCAACAGCAAAATGGCTTGTGAAAAACTACATTACCCATGAATCTGCAGTGAAATCTCCACCAATCAGAGAACTGTGACAAGCACATAGTGCTAGCCCACTTCCATGAAGCTCTCAAACTGCTTAGTTGTTTGTTCTAAATATTTGTATGCATAAGATGCATATTTTGCAATAAACGTAAATTATATTTTTTAACATCAACATCATAACATCTGTTAAGTAAATAATTTTATTTTTCTAGCATTTTTATTTTGATTATGTCATTCACTATGCTTCATAGGATCGTAATTCTATCCGTCGTTAAAGCCGTTTTTGTATATTTGTCGGATTTTCAGATTTATTTATTTTTTTGCTTCAAATCAAAGTTTGTAATGTTGTTATTAGCCGCATAGCTGGTTGGTTTAAGTCATGCCTTATAACTCTTAAACATGGGAAAAATGAATGGGAACAATACTTCCAGGACCAAGGCCACTGAAAAACTTTTTTTTTTTTTTTTTTTAATTAGCAATGTTTTTTCGGTACTCAATATAGAATGTGTTCATAAATGGTACTACCCTAATTTAAAAAAAAAAAATCCCCACAAGCTTTTTGCAGTGCATTCTGGGATTGCATTATCTCCAGAAACAAATTTGTTGCTCAAGATTTTGTAAAAACAATTATTAATAATAATAAAAAAATAGGTATCTGTGTACTATTATATGGCTATAATGCTTAAAAAAGTTGCCTGGGTAGGAAGCTCTGCTTTTGGAACAGAATCGGTGTGTATGTAGAATAGATAGTTTTGTTTCAAGAAATTAACTACATCTTCATAAATAATGTGTTTTAAAATTGCTGTTATTCTATTTTAATTAGCGGGGTTAGGGTTTCGGTTAGTCTGCAGTTATTAGCATTAACTTAAACTATGAAATGTCTTCGTTTAGATTGCATCAGTAACTTTCAAAGTGAGTTTAGTTTGGTTACTAACCAGTGAGGCTCTTCTGGACATGCGGCTGAGCGGTTTGCACGGTGGAGGGTTTTCCATCTGTAACTTCTTCAGAAACTCTGGTGGGAGACGGATATCCATGGGCAGAGACATCCTCTTAGTTACATCCTGCACACACATCAAAGAGCTGTCAGCTATTAGTGTTCAGCTAGCACACATATGAAAACACAGCGTGTCAAGGTGAATATGACAGCTTTCTCCACCACGCAACACAACTCTACGCCTATAGGCAGAACCGACTATTCTTACCATGATGAACTCGGCATGACAATGAGAAAACCTGTCACTTTTCTCCAGTATGAAGACTCTCACTCAATAAAGGATTCTGCAGTAATCTCAACACGCCAAGGCAGGGCAGGACAAAATATTGTATCTTACGAAGAGCTGAAGTATATCTAACAATCTTCTCGCATCTAAGAAGCTCTGATGGCGTTAGTTTGTAACTCGATTCACCGCCGCAGTTAAGAGAGGCCCAAAAATAGCACGGCAATGTGCTCTGAAAAATGACAGCATTCCCTCTGATTCCTCCCGCTCTGCCTTGTGGCTGAGTTTGTACGGTCATGCAATAAAACTAGCCAGCGATTCTCAATAAAACCAGGGAATAAAAAGTCCTCCTTTCTCCTCGGTGCTCTCCCGTCATGCCTGTGGGAATAAAATAAGGGTGCACTGTGCAGATAAAAGGTTTGCGAGAGCAAAAAGAAGCCGTCGGATTTGAAAATGGGAGAGGGCATTCATTCCAATTTTCCCCCTCTAGATTCATGGCCACTGAATAAGAAAGCTGACAGCCGAGGCAAAGAACACTCCGAATGCGGAGTCAGTCTTTTGTGGCGCTGGACTAACTTACAGGTAATACTTCCACTCCATTTAATGATGGACTCCATCTTTCTCATGTGCCTCCAACTAAGGCTCTTCTCTCATACAGATACTAAATCGCATGGATGATTATGGTAGAAGAGAGGAGTAAAAGGCAGCAGCCTCATGCAGTCTCTGGTTAGTCTGTTGTTGTCGTTCACCAATCCAGTTGGCATGGTTTGTTTTGTGTTTTGAACTTGCTTATTTATGACACTATAATACATATATGTGTCTTATATTTGTTATGTGTGTGTATATATATATATATATATATATATATATATGTATATATATATATATATATGTATGTATGTATGTATGTATATAGAGGTGATCACTAGAATGTACTTAACACCGATGTGCCAGTTAATGTAATAACTATGGATTTGAGTAATTGTAACAGTAGTATGATGGTTGTGCTAGTATTTTCTGACTCATAATCATGGATATTTCTGAAAATATACAAAATCAGTTAACAAGGCCACAAAAAATATATTTGTTTATAATTGTGTGCTTAATTTGTCAATGTTGTAATAATAACTTTGTTATAATATAATTTCTTTATTATTTTAAATAATTGTACTAGTATTTTCTGTCTCATGAAAACAAGGCAAATATATATGTAAACATAATTTATTATTTAATATATGTAATTAATATAATTTCTTTATTAGTTTAAGTAATTGTGCTAGTGTCCCTCATTTTAATTTGGTCATATTAATGTCTGCAGCATTTTACAGATGTGTGATGTGCAAAATATGATTATTTTGTCAATACTCTAAGGATTTTCTGTCTGACTGTGGTGCAGTAAATGGAGCTGATAGACAAAAACCATCCTGTAGTCTCAACTCATTCAATATTTATAATAAAAATTTGACAGTATTCTTGTATCTAAGGGTATTGAGTGATAGGCGAGGTAAAGCACATTTTCGAACAGAAGAAGCAGGGGAGCATAGGTGGACACTTCTGAACATGCTAAACCAAAAAAGAAAAAAAAACTATTCTAACTATTCCTTGATATATACAGTAAATACACAATACTTTATATATACTGTGTATATATATATATAATTATTATTATTATTATTTTTCTTTCAGTTCTGTAGCCTGTTTTATCCCCACACTCAAAGTCTATAGGCCATGTTTTAGTGATCCCACTGTGCTGGGTTGTTGCTTCTACTGCTTCTACTGGCAACTGTTGCATTCATTAGGTTATAAGAGTTGTTTGAAGAGCCTCAACAATCTTTCGAGTGCGAATGAGCCATAGACGTTCCACCTCTTCTCTGATTAGCCCGCTAACTCAATAACCATGAGGTCAGCTATGGCATATGCTGATGACGGCATCATTAATCAAGCCCACCGCAGTTAGCGGAGCGATCGCAATTATCGCGCCGAGTTTCATGCATTTATGATGTGGCTATCTAAGTGGGTGTCAATCCGGCAAACCCCAATTAATAATGTCTGTGTCAACAGACTGTCAGCACAAATCCAATTACGCCCCTATACGGCACGTCCGATAGGGACCCACCAATGCCACGGCTGACCCCCTTCGCGAGCGCACGGCAGAAGCGCACGGCAGCCTGGCATTATCACTACCAAACTGTGTTTTCAGAGGTGAGAACGAAAATCAAAATGGCTTTTCTGCTCCATCAGTTCAATTTGGACGAGGGGGCTTGAAGGGCCTCCGGAGGCATCGAGGTGGGAGCCCCCGGTCCATTTCACAGCGCCGTGGCGGCATAATTGAGATCCACCTCATTATTGGGCCGAGCCCGGCGCTGAATGAGAATTGCCTGCCAGGCTCATCCGTTCTCATTTAGGCTGGTCTCATCCTCTCCGGACCGCACAAGTGAACTCTTTATCGGAGCCATTTAGGCGAAACGCAACGAAATGTCACATCTGGCAGAGACGGCCGGTCGACGCGATCGCATTACCCACGGCTGTCTTTATCCTATCTGAGAAGATCGCGACAGCTGTTTGTTGCGTGTCCCTGTTATGACTCTGAGGGCCCTATCATACACCTGGCACAATTTTTTGCTAGTTTCAGCCCGACGCAGTTGTCATTTTCACATCCTGCGCCACGTTGTTTAAATGGCAAATGCATTTGCACCCATGGGCGTGCTGGTCTGATAACGAGGTGTATTCAGGCGCATTGCTGGCGCGTTGCTATTTTGAGGCAACTGAAATAGACTGCGCCATTGTCCAACAAAAACCTGGTCTAAAGTCTCTCATAGTGTTGCTGGTTAGCCTCTGGTCTGCCTGTGCGCATTCATGTGTTTTTGAGGAGGCATGGCTTTGCAGAGTGATTATGCATGAAGGGTGAGGTCTTATGCTTTCAAAGCTAGCTTGCAATTTCTAACCTTTCCGAAATCGCCTACCCTGCTTTTAATACAGTCAAAAAATTACATACAATCAATGCTTGATTGCATTCTAATTGTCAATGTTTTGTCATTCATCAGCTGGAAAAATTGTTCCGAAAATTATTCCAATGATGTTGTTCCTTTGTGTTGCTAAAGGAACACTCCACTATTTTTGAAAATAGGCTCATTTTCCAACTCCCCATAGAGTTAAACAGTTGAGTTTTACCATTTTTGAATCCATTCAGCCGATCTCCGGGTCTGGCGGTAGCACTTTTAGCTGTAGCTTAGCATAGATCATTGAATCTGATTAGACCGTTAGCATCTCGCTCAAAAATGACCAAAGAGTCAGAGATATGGCTAGGAACTATACTGTCATTCCGGCGTAATAATCAAGGAACTTTTCTGCGTACCATGGGTGCAGCAGGCGCAATGATATTACGCAGCGCCTGAAAATAGTCCCCAGCTAGGTAACTTCCAATAAGCCTATTTTCAAGTAAGTCATGTGTCCGCTTGACGTTTTTGCATACTGAGCACAGTAGAGATCTCAAAGTAAACATCTCATTTATTTTCTTCATACAGAAACTGATTTTTAGTGATAATGATAGACCTGCCGTGAGCTCTGAGGGTGTTAAGTGCTGATTGGATCTTCTGTAGTGCTTCAACTTAATAAAAGCGTGGTTAATAACCAAATATACTTTGAAGAACTAAACTATCTATAATACTAATGAGATATCGACCAGTCAGAAGAGAAGGTGTTACCATGGAAATAAAGAGCTAGCAGTGACCAGACATAACCGTAATGCACAGCAAATTACATAATCACTCTTAAAATCGCTATATATTTTGCAATATTTAGTTTTTAAACTTTTAATCAACTATAAGTTGATGGCTTTAGTTAGTATCTGTCAGATCTGATTCAACCCTTAACTAAACCTATAAAAAAAGTTACGTGAAATAAAATGAAACCTTACCACAATAAAATAAACCCTTAACTGTATTTCAGCTTGTTGCCAAGGAAATTAGTAATATTTAGTTACTAAAATAACTAAAACTGAAATAGAAATGAATAAAAACAGTATAAACATGAATAAAAATGACAAAAACTTAAAATTACTTAAACTAAAATTAAAATAAAGTATAATATAAAATTCTAGATATTAATACAAATTTTAAATGATACTAAAATAATATTTCTATATTAGTCTACTTCAGTGTTTAACATTTTGTAATTATTTTTCCCTTTCATTTTTCTGCAAGTGGTCTGTCTTCTGATAAAAATAAGTAGAATTTCGCTCTTTCTCTATCATTCTCATATTGATTTAATTGCAGTTTATGTTCACACCTGGCCTAGGAATGCAGCAGGGGATGGTTTTTGCCAAAACAGACGGCTAAATGTTTTGCTATCCTTGATTTGTTAAGAGAGTGATAAATGTCCCCTAGCCCACATATGCTAATTAAAAAAAACAGACAAAGAGTGGAAAAACAGAGAGAACGGCTAGAGAGAGGAGCGTTGGAGGGCTGGTTAGTGTTGCATTTCAGTAAACATCAAGATAATGAAGGTTGAAGGAATAGTTCAGCCAAAAAATGAAAATTCTGTCCTCATTTACTCACTCTCCTGTCATTCCAAACCTGTAGGACTTTCTTTCTTCTGCGAAAGCAAGAACAAAACTTCCTGTTGACTTATAGATAATAAGGAGAATTTTCTATACAAGCAGGCCCTAAAACTAACATTTTGCCACACCTGCCAATGGCTGCCTGGTGATGTGAGAAAATATACAGACCATAGCTATTTTTTACTGGCCATAAAACTGTGTGCATTATTTCCTTAAAAAACTTCTAATAGTTATTATTATTATTATTAAATGAAATTATAAAATATAAACAAATCAATAAAGAAATATCACTAATACTATTGAGCTGTATATTATTAAAAAATAATAATTCAAATGTATATACAATAATAATAATAATTATTATTATTAGTAGTAATTGTAGTAATAATAATAATAATTATTATTATAAATATATAACAATATATTACTT